TATATCCAAAAATCTATATTTTCTGTCAGGTGAATGAGTTTAGTTCGGGTGTACATTCCCAATCGATTTGACTCAACGAGCGTCCGTTTTTATAATTATTGTGCATTGACCTGTATACGCGTAGCTCGCCTGAAAAAGTATAGCGATAACTTCCGTGTATGTAAAGTACCAGTTAATCTTTGGGACGATACATGCTAGCGCTCAGTCGATGCCCATCGAAACGTCAATGCAAAACTTAACATATCTACTGTTCGGAATGCGTTTTCGCGTAACCAACGCCACGAGTATTTGTACAGTTTCGCTTTAGTTGTGAGGAATTTTACGCTTCCATGAGCTTCGACTTTGTTTGTGGTCGTATAAAGTAACCCTTAGTGTCGATTTCAAACTTACATACTGATTTTTTAGCAAGAAGAATTTTCGTTTGTAAATCACCATTAATATTATTTTTAATTCAAACATAGTCCAAATGAACAATTTAATTGCGGTATATAAATAATAGTCAACACTACCAAGGTTGTACTAAACATTTCGCTCGAAAATTCATTAACTAATTTCCTTCAGGCACTTTATTCAAAGTGAAATATCATTTATTATATATGCATAGTCTTGAGAGCTGTATGCAACATGTCTTAATGCAATATAGAGGTCGGGCTTGCGGCTACCACACGCCGCCCCTTAAATACACGTCACTAACTAATTGCGGAAATGTTACTAACGATCTTAACTTTCCGTCTTATAGCTGATTAATAAACTCAATTTTAAGTTCAATGAAGTTTAATGATCACTAAGGGAGATCCTGATATGATATGTTGACCACTTTCTTATCACCAACTCCTATACAAATAAATAAACATATACTATTTTTTTAAGGAAATATAGGAATCTAGCTTTCGTCCGCGACTCCGTCCGGGTGGCATTAAAAGAAACAAAAGTGGGCAGCCTATGTGTTCTTCCAGGATATCATTTACGTCTACACCAAATTTCAACGAAATCCGTTCAGCCATTTAGGCTACAAACTCTAACAAACATCCATCTAAACTTTCGCATCTAAGATGAAAAATTACATTTTTTTCTAAAATAAGTATTTTTGATTACTGTTGACAAAATTGTACACGATAATACCAGTATTGATCGTAAATTTATGTGATGACCAAAATGTGGAAATAATTCTGTCTGTTAATGATGTAGACGATTTAATTGTTCGCAATGAACGTGCGACTCACATTCGTCTGACTGAATAACTTCGTTAATTGGACCCGATTTTCGTTTCATTGCTCTTCTATTTGTTTCACATTACATTTTCCACGTGAATCACAGACCCTTTTGTTACTTAATTCTAACACTCTATTCCACATTTTAATTAAACTTTATATATTGAAACTTAAACAAAATAAATGTACTTTTACATTCTAAAAGTGTATAAGTCTATAGACGTAAAACATAAAAGTGAAATATTTCGATAAACATATTTTTGTTTGCAGAAATAATCAATTAATTTGTGAAAATGATTTGTCTAAAACGCTTTTACGTTATGACTTATTAAAAGTAAGTAGAAGTATAATGCTTTTACATCTAGAAATGGGCTTTAAAGCTCAAAACATATTGGTTTTTTATCAAAGACTTGTCATTCCGTTTTACTTTCCTTATTTTTGATAAAAAATAATAAGACACGTTTTCCCCTTTTAGACGGGTAACTTCCTTGATGGATTTCCTCGAGGTACGCACACATTCAGTTAATCAATTATTATCCATTGACATATGGAAAGCTTTTCTTAAAAGGGAATATCACAAGGTCGCGAAACCAAGGATATAATAAGAAAATTTCCATATAATTTAATTTTTTGTACATTAAAATAACTTGGTCGGAAATATAAACAGTGAATTTGTATGAATCTTCCTTTAAAGATATATCTCTCAATGACCTAATAGGTCGTACACGAAAATATCCATAAGTAGCATAGTAGAAATGTGTATTGATCAATGTTATTGAATGCATTTGTCTTGTTAATCTTGTATTTTCAGTTAATAAACTAAATAAATAAGCTTAAAATGTAAAATGTTGAAACGCAAGGGTTTGACGAACTTTTACAATTTCATTGTTGTTTTGAAAAGTAAAACACGTCCTAGCAGAGTGTGATGATAAAGGGCGGTCCCTTTATTTATATAATAATATGCGAGCGCTGGTAATGAGATGGGTCTTACAAAGTAACGAGGGTAAATTGCAAAAAGTTTAAAATGTCAGCTGCTGAATAATAATTTTTATTTCGTTCGTTTCACTTATTTTGTTTAGAAATCGTAGAACAGATAACTTCAAAATCCGAACATACAATGTCTAGCAACAAAGAGTGGACGCTAAATTGGAATTCCAGTAGTTTATACTTTAGAGAATACGTAACATACATACCAGACAGTAACTTCTGCGCCGGGAAAAGATGTCTCATAAGTAACACTAATAACAACCTTTTACAATTTTCTGTAAAGCCATTGCTGCCGTTTAATTGTTACATAATAAATTAAGTAAGTTTAAGTTAAATAACAAAACTAGCCTAACGAGAAGTGACGTCAAATGTCATTAGTAGGATTATCTATTACTGAAACCATTATTTTTTTTTACTTTGTGACTCGCTTTTGGGTATATAAAGTACTATAACAATCAGATGTAATTTTATTATCTCCTTTTTCTACAACATACGGCATTTTTAGAAAATGAGGATATGTTGTAATACAAGAACATTCAACTGTTTTTCAGTCATAAAAATTTGCATATTTTTGTAAGTAAAACAAGCTTAAAAGCTTACAAGATTTTTGTACCGAAAATCAAAGCAAGGTTAAAATGATTTAATTTAATTTAAAATAAATCAAAGGAGACTAGAAATGGTGAAGGCGGGAAAGGTTTCGAGTTGGTCAGAACAAATATCGGCGGCCGCAACTCAAACACTAATCTAATAGCGATCTGATTTAATTAGTTCGGAAATCACAGCGACCTCTTAAGCATCTTCTCTTACTCGTACTTAGCCGAGAAGAGAAAGAGCATATAACATTTGACAAATAAAATCCTATACGTCTTGATTGTTGTATACTAAACTTTATGAATATCTAAAAATACATATATCTAGTAAGTCCTTTGTAATGAAGATATGTTTAAAAAATCAACAAGTTTTCGTGACTTCCAATGATTCAAGTCAATTGAAACTTCTTAAGTTAATTCACTTCGGTGTGAACTAAACGAAATCAAATATTTTCAATGGTAGTAAAGCGCCTGCCTGTAGACACAATGACATGAAATATTACGGCAATAGCATTGTATAATCAATTTTAATAGCATCCCGCCTCGGCACCCGAGTAATCCAATTACCAACTGAAACGACTATCAAAGCCTCAATTTAAACTTCCACAAACAAACTGGAGACATCTTGACAGACTTTAATGTGTTTCGACTCCATCAGCCAACGCTCACCGCGCCGCGCCGCGCCGCCCGCCGCTGCCACCGGCACAACATGCTCCATTGTACCTTCTCTATAAACGTATGTTTATAGAGAAGGTACAATGAGTGTAACATATGTACGTAGTATGTATGTAGTGTAACATACGTGTGTATGTACAGAGTGTAACCAACGGGATAAACTGTATAGTTTATCCCGTTGGTTACACTCTGAAAGATTTGAAAAGTGCAAAGTTTCCAATAGTGTTAATCGATTTTTTTTCCACCGAATGTTATTAAATCTACTTATTTAGTACATAGATTTCCTTTCACAATATTATAATTTTTTAACCGACAAACGGTAGGACAACGTTTTTCGTAAATATCTACGTAATGTACAAAAATTTATTTCGTTTTACACAAGAGAAAAACGTATAAAGGCTGAAATTTTTACCTATAATGAATATGTTTTTTTATAGCATTATGAACCGTTTCTATTTTTAATAAATATAAAATATAAACTCGTTATAAGAAAGATTCAATATCCGCTGAAGTGTTCTGACACTTCACCCTGCTGCCTACGAAGAGCCAAAGATAGATCTACGAAATAATATTACTTCCCAAAATAATAATAAATCCCTACTTACTCTTAATTAGACTTAGTGTCTATAAATATTGAAATAAACAAATAAGTCTTTAAATTTTGCACATTCTTGAAGAAATAGAGATTATAAAACCAAAAATTAGATATACTTTGATATTTTAAATATTCTGTTAATAATTGCGTATTTGATATTCGTGTTGCAGACGGCATGTTATTAAAAATATACGAAATAGCGGAACGTAATAGAATCACTGACGAGCCCTAATGTTCGTTTATTATGAATAATTCGATTACCGCTGTTCGAAGCTTACGCTCGAATAAAATTTTCAATATCCCTTCAAATAGTAAATATTGTTTGGTTTGTTTTGATTTTCTTATGAGAACAATATTTAGTGTTCCCGGAGTCTACAAACGCTCAAATCAAGCACTAATTTAATTATTCCTGCGTGTGATTGCAAAGCATAGATTGAATAAAGATATAAATTGCTTTGTATCTAATGAATTGTACACATTTGTTACCCATCAGCAGTATTTGATATATGAAATAAAATGTCGTGGTGTTAATTAAAAGTTAGGACTGAATGTATTGTCAATTAAATTTTGTTTTAGAATCAGTAAATACGTTGTATTTTTAATAATAAAAATAACATATTAAGTTATATTGTTTATACTTCGTGAACTCTTACTCTCGTCTTACTATATTTCGTTTCTTGATTGCCTCTCTTCATTCCTGAAAAAAATCGCCCCATAAAAGGCTGAATCATCACAAAAGGTTTGAGGTCAATGACCAAAACTAAAAACATAAATATTTTGAGATTTCATTTCTTGTTGTTTCTTTATAATCTATTTTGTGACAATGACGTTTATTTATTTTTTTACTCTTTGTCAACTGTCAAGTTATGCGCACTGAATAATAAAATGGTTTAGTGCATTTTAATTAATTAAAATATTTAGCGTTAGTAGAAAAGAACATCTTAAAATATGACGAGAACCGTTTTATTTGTAAGATTATATTTTTATATTTGCTTCAACTTGCTCGTTCTCAACTTTGCCTTTAATTTTGTACCGATGGGAGTTTGTTGCGGTTTTTTAAAAATTCTACGGAGCAAAAACAATGCAAGTGCTATACTTTAAAAAAAGGTCAGGTAAGAATGTGAGTTCTTACAATTCTTTCAGTTTTACTTTACTTGGTACCATTTATTTACTTTTGGTTCTCATTATTGATCTTATTGGTGTTGCGAACTTTGCGTTGTTGTTCTTTAATTAAACAGACTATTAGGACTACTCGTACTTATTCTAGTAAAATCAGAGTTTTTCAAGTCTAATTTGCTACGATATTTACCTTTTAATATAACAATGCTTTTGTTGCAAATGTTGCCTAATTGGCTTTTTAATTGGAGAGGCATTTTATTAAATCTGTATTTAAAAAAAAACTGTAAAATCATTGAAATATTAATCGTTCAAGTATGGTGGAGTATTTACGTTTGAGTTTGAACAGTTTTATGCAATGAGTTTAATGTTTTCAGGTGGAATCTGATGGTGCAGGGCCGTCGTCGTCGCAGGCGCTGCCGCTCTGCCCCGCCGGCCGACCCGACGCAGAAGTCGAACCCCTACTTAATGAAGGTAAGAAAATCATTTAAATCTATGATACATTTTCTATAGTTTTCAACATAAGAGTTAGTGGTTTCTGCAAAACAGCTGCACGTTTTTAGGGAACAAAACATAAATCAATTTTAGCGAGCTATTTTCGTCATGACTGGAGTTGCAACAGCTTTTGATTGAACTTCCGTTGTTCAACGTACGGTGGCATTCGAATTGTGATGTCAAAATTAGTTTGAACCATGAATATTTATTTGTTTCATACATAATTATGGTTCTGGCTATGATTTGCGAATCACCATCGTCGTCACAGAAGAATAATAAGTAATTGGCAACAAGTAAATAAAAACATCTTTTATTAGATTAGAAAAAACAAAAGTGATTTAAGAGCTCTTTATTACATTTAATTCAGTTATATGAAATACGTAATAATCCGGAAAATTCAGTCGTACGGAATTACGAAGATAATAAGACGCGCCTTACGAATATTGATTTATAAATATGCGTAAGTTTGAAAAAAAAATGGCATTGAAAATATTATTTATAGGCAAATAACTAAGTAGTCAATCCCATCGATATCAATTATTCTAAAATTTTTGTCACTGGCTGTTGCCCCCGGCTTTATCCGCTTTTCTTATAATTACGAATGTTTAATTCAATTTCGAGCGAAATTGTATCTATAATAGATAACATCTTTCAGAAAGATTTATCCACACGTTACTATGGCAACTGATGTTGTATAAAAAAAAGACTCAACATTATTCAGAATGAAAACAAATCACAACACGATTCATTAGGTAAATGATACAAATTACATTTAAATAGACGATGGTTTGGTTAAGGGTTATTTCCGACACGATCGGTTCCTCAACAGAATCAGGCGGTGAGATCTTTCCACGTGAAACACCTACACTGTGACGTGATTTCTAATCGTTTGAATTAATATCGCTACAAGTAGGTCATGTGTTCAATATTCCGACGGTACGTTATTATGTAAATATATTATCTTGGCTTCTCTGTTTCCTTTACTTTATTGTGAATATCAAATTTATTTCTTTCGTGGGTATTGTCATGGTTTAATATAATTCAATGACGATTTTATAATATTGTTTTAAGTCCGAAGTTTTTTAAGACAAATCTGGCGCTGCATCAATGCAAGTAGTATGCATGAAACTGACATAAGACTAGAAAAACAGAATCACATAAAAACTGGGCGACATCTAGCAATGGCTAGATATAAAATAAAAGCGTCAAAAGCAACTCCAGTGGTTCAATTGTAATAATCGTTTCTAATTCAAGTATTAACTACGTTGTCTACATTTCTAGTTTGATTTAGTTAAATCCGTTTGAAGACGTTTTCTGTGAATTTATGATAAGTGAACAATGGTCGTATTAAAATAGTGTTCGGTTCTGATAGCACGAGCCGGGCACAAAGCCGTCTAAGGGTGCGTCTACATCTAGCTATTATACAGCGAATGCGCATTCCGTGAGACGTTCGCGAACAAACTTCGCTGTTACTATACTACGTACAAAAAGCTCGCGCAGTTCCGAGCGGCACGAAAGCAGTTCGTCAGTTGTGAACACACCCTTATGTTCAGCTTCCTGTTGTCGTACATGTTGATATGATTGTAATACGATATCGTCAAAGGCTGTCCATAGCTCCTATTCATTGTTACCATACCTTCGTTAAGTCATTTACTATCAAGTACAAAGTAAAAACACTAATAGTGTTTAAACCTAAACCTGTTGGAGCTTTTATTAAATAACCTTTGATGCTATTTATTTAATATATTTTCTTTATCAGACTTTTTCTATTTTCAATAAAAAAACATGTTTTTTACATCAGAATCATTTAAAAAAAATTGCCGCGCATATCTCAACTTAATGGTAAATTCTGATATCAGTTTTCTCGTGCCTTGAATTGCGATTACCTTTTATATTAGCCTCGTACTGAATTCGTGAAATTCTTGTGACTTCTTACAATTCGAATTAAATCTCTAGTTTGTGCTATCATTTAAATTCAAGCCAACATTTTAGAAAAGGAATAATTGTATGGGCTAGAAAAAACAATTTATTATAATGTATTTTTTTAATTATAAAGACATTAAAACTTTATTTTAACTATTTAAATTGATAATCAATTTTACATATATACCTAGTAACATTTTTTTGTGTTGACACATACCGACAATAGACCAGACCAAGGAAGGATTGTATGGATTCACCGGCAGTTAGTGTTTATATTCCCTGGAATACCGGTCAGTTGAATGTCAGTCCAGTTATTGAGTGTTACTGTGCATTAATACTGGCCAAGTGTGAACTGCGCATTAGCCGCAAGAACATTGTTTGTTCGCAAATACTCCACGTTATTTAAGTTGCACTTATAACAATATAGTTATATTTCTATTTATTTCGACGTATTTTTTGGACGACAATAGAGCAAACGGATCTCTGAAAAAACACCAGATCGTAGCGAGAGCGTATATTAGCACTGAAAGTGGCCTAAGCTTCGGTTTCCTCTGTTGGCTAGAAATAAATTGTTGTTTACTTTTTCAAAGAATAGAACAAGTAAAATATGTTAATTTCTTATCTCAGGAGTTAAGTTAAGTCGTGCAATAGAAATGTTTTCAATGGAAATATTTACAGTTATATACACGTAGAAATATTATTTAACTTTATTCTTTATTGTTTTTTTTATGTAAATTAGACATTCGATGATAGCAGGTGAAAGAGGAACAACGATGTAAAAAAAAAAACAGAAAAACCTCGAGATTTGAAGAAATGAGACATTTCAACCAAACCAGCTTTCTCCATACATATGAATAAAATTTAAAAATGGATAGTATCATGAATAGTCAATACTCGTACTTGATCACAGTTTTGCGCTTAAAAGTTGCTTTACGAAAACAATATTCAAATTTGGCCTCGGACAACCTTATCGAAATACGAATGCAAATAAAGATATTTCAACGTAGAGAATTTTACATTTCTGTTAAATAATAAATATCTGTTAATAATTTAACTTGCTTACTAAACAACCTTTTGTTGAGCATGCCAAGATGTATCTTGTGTTTTACTAACTTTCACCCGCGACTCTGTCCGCCTGGATAGAAACAAACGAGTTTTTCTAGACTATCCTCTACATCTATACCAAATTTCTTGGTAATCCGTTCTAACAATCTCAAACAACATCTATCCAGCCATCTAAACTTTCGCATTAGTCATATTAGTATGATTACGGTGCATTTCCACTGCCCAAACATAAATAGGAAAACATACTGTCATCTTTCATATTTTCCATATGTAAAAGAAAACCCACACTAAGTTAATATTTTCAATATAGGAGAAAAGTGTAGCATCCGCCAAAATAAATCCTGCTTGTGTAGCTTGCGAAGCTAACAACACTTAATTGATAATAAATTCATTTATTCAGTGGAATTAAACAGGGAGTCCATAGTTTTAGGTAATATAAACGGGAAAATCTTTTACTCCAGCTTACTAACGCTTGTTAACTGTCGGTACTGAGTGGGCGAGCGGGACGCGGCCGGTGTTAGTGGGAGGAGAGCCATCGGCAAACCTGCACACGGCTAATACATTATATTTGTATGTGTATGTTCCAAACATTTTAAGATTATCACACATTAATATTAGTTTTACAAACATACTAAGATCAAGAATAGTAGACCTCGCACCAATTTTTCCCAAAAGGTCTTGGTTGACAAGTGAACTAAATTTAGTATGAGCATTTTGTTTCATTGTAAATATTCGTTGCAATCGTTGTATTTAAATCTGACTTTGTAAAGTATGAGCGATTTGTGATTTAAATTGAGAGCAGGCTATCAGGGGGCTATCTTCCTATTATCGCCTTTGAAGATAGCACACAATGGAGAGCTCGTGCAGGCGCATCAATAGACGCTCCATATGAAACGGAAATCCGTTTACCGTCATGTAACCTTTATCCTATTGACGTTTTTGTTCCCGTTTCAAATACATACATTATTTACGTGCCAATATTTTAGTTTACTGACTATATCAATAACTTCTTCTTTGTTTTAATATTAAAATGATTATCACATTGTCAAGAAAGGTTTTGAAGAAAAGTGACGGCATATTGAGTAAGAAAGCAAGTAATTAGCGTACATAGAAGTCTATTTCAGTTGAATACGTTTTATGTTAAATGTTGTAGAAACAATTTATTATATTTACATTCTTTACAAAAGATGTTATAAACGCCAAAAACTTGGAAATTAAAAAGGTATCAGTGTCGTAAGTTTTTTGAGAAGCAATTTTTCTTGTTTATTCAGGTTACGTCACAGTTTAAAAGTACTTAAGGCTCGGGCTCTTTGCAAGATAAATTGCGATAAAATCCGAAGTAAGAAAACTTAATTTGATACGGTTTTTTAATACAGAATCGACGTTGAAACGAAGGAAGGCTTAAATCGTAAAGAAATACATATTGTTATTGAAAATACTATAAATATATTTCATCAAAACGCTGAGTCTTCACAATCGTAATACATGTTTAATAACTTTCACTATTGCTTTCACACTCATTTATATTAAAAAAAGGAAGCAGTCATGTTCTTTTACATATTTTTACAACTGAAAATCTAGGTCATGACTACAACAATTTTCCAAAGTGATTTTTATTAATTTAACCAAATCTTACTTCTTACTAATATTAAAAATGCGAAAGTTTAGATGGATGGATGGATGTTAGAGATTGTAGCCTAAAGTTCTAAACGGTTTTCGAAGAAATGAGACACAGATATAGTTTTGAAGAACGCATAGGCTACTTGCTTTTGTTTTTTTTTATTTCCACGCGAACGGAGTAGCTAACTAAAGCTAGTACAATATAATTATTCTGTCTTGTCAATCATTATTGATGAATATATATCTCTACAATATTAATCAACAAAGACAGTGTCTACTTAATGCACTAAATTTAATTACACCCTGCAAATGACAATAATGACAGGGGTTCGGAAATTAATAGACGGGAAAATCGATATATGAACGTTTTTCAAGTATTTCACAAGTTTGCTTTTGACATGTAATTTAACTACTAACTGTGTATTAACTCCGCGAAATCTCTCGTTTACATAATTAATGCGAAGTTTTATAATGTTAAAAAAATACGAAATACATTTTTCTTATTTAATATTGTTTCACAGCATCCTTTTACGTAACAAAGATGAGATCAAAGTTTTCCTCCATTATAACTCAAAGTGAAGGGAATTTTTAATAAAGGGCTCATAAATCGGTACCTGATGATATAATTATCATAAATAACCTCTTCTCTCAACCGAAGCGCCTTTCTTAAACGAGAAAGTAATATCAAAATTATTTCGTGTTCAAGCGATTTCTTTACAATCATTTTATAAGGGTAACAAACGTGATATTTGGTATACAATAGCTTACAGTATCTCTAATCTTAGAGCATTACGCTAAAATTCATAGAAAACTATTCATCACCACCAGCTCACTATGTTTCCCCACCGAGGGACTCGGAGCCTACCCTTAGTTACGGGTGAATGGGCCATAGTCAACCGCGCTGGCCAAGAGGGTTGGTTGACTTCACACTTTGAATTTCTGAGCCGATACGTGCAGTTTGCATCACGTCAGGTAAACGTTATGTACATACATATGATAATTCGAAAAATCGAATATCACATTGGTACATTGCGGGATTCGAACCAAAGACCTATACTTACAAGGCAAGTGCTTGAACCACTGAGCCATCGACGCTCTAGAAAACCATTAGTAAAAAGTAATTAACAATAACAGTAATTAACAAAAACATCATGTTATAATTTTAGTACACATTGATAGTGAAGTTTGAAATTTCCTTTGAAAGCAACATCCTTAATAGTATCCGTGTCAAAGAAGATTTAGAAATTGTGCTCGGAATTCAAACAATGACTGTGAAGTGTGAAGTACCCTCAAAAGCGAAACTATCCGAGACGGACATCCGATTACGATACTACGAATGGTCACATCGAGTGTACCAACACGTCCGCGTGTCCAATTTGACATCGACGTGAGAGCGTATACACGTCGATATTTACGCCGATCCAATTATTGTCATGAAAGCTTTGAAGATTGAAAAAAATACAAGGAAGAAATTCAAGTTCCATTTGACATGTACATGTTATGTATCTTAATGTAAAAAGAAACTATTTTTAGTACTATTGTTTCAGTTGAAGTAATTCCTCGAAAAAATACTTCGTTCTAAGTTTTGCGGAATTGCATTGCTTTGATATGTTTTTAGAGATGTTTCTGCAAACATTGTTATAACCATTTATTTAAATAGAATGAGAGTAAAAGTTCAAATGTTTTATTCAGAAATTTAAAACAATGATAAGAAAAATATTAAACATGTTAAAAATAAACATCCTGTTAAAAGAAACAAGATTTCACAGCAATGTAAGATTTACTAACGATGGATACGCCTAGATGTCGGCATTTTTAATAACGCCGGACAAACTTTCAGTAATCAGATAAAAATCCAATTACTTAGACGTGGTTTTACTTCGCAGTACAACGTTTTCCCGTCATGCTTGCTTCCAATCTATTTCCTCTATATCTTTATTCTAAATTGTTTTTACAATTTCTATTTCAAAATGTTTTGAATTGAAAAAAAACAATGTTAATTTTGAGGTTACTTTGTTGTGATAACTGATATTTTAATTACAATATGTACGTTATTTTTTTATTTATAAAACCGAACGAATGAAGTATAGATCTAACAACATTGTACAAATAGAGTTACACACCAGTTGTATATCAATAATGAGTTATTGCTTGCCAATTTAATTGTTGACAGGTTTAAAGAGGTTATTGTGTTTATGTTCGGATTCGAATGTGTCGAATACACGCATAATATGTCACCGACAAATTGTGGTTTACATTAGTTAAGAACCTCATTAGACCAAAAATATAAATTATTGTGATCGATATGTGTCTGCTTCAATATGTTAAAATTAACTTCTTAATTTGCATTTTTAACGAAGTTTATCTAAGAGTAAGGCAGATATCAATGTGCCGTGTACGATTATAAACTGAAGAAGTAAATCGGTATGTGATAGAAAATCCTCCAATTCAAGCAGTTGGGAATAGAGCATGCTCCGGCCAAAGCTTCCACAATTAGCGGCAAGATTGTTGCTATGCAGTGCGATGCGACTATTCAAATATTCATAAGACCTTTAAATGAACGCATTGTCTGCATTTCAAATTTATATTCTGTGACAATTCTACATTAGAAGTAATTAAAAGCTATTACTTTTATGTTAACCTGTAAGTGAATCTGCAGGATTGTCATAAGATACTTTTTGATGGTGCCTGTTTTAAATGAGTAAGTAATATATCTTCCACATAAGATTTTATACACTCCCCTTCTTTCGTACGTTGAGGTTGAATATTCATTTGTTTATTTGCCAACATATTCCATGAGATAGATTGTGTCGACAAGCGACAAGTGACAGGCGGTAGGTTTATAACACTCATCAACACGCGTGTGTGGACAGATATCAAACATATTTTATGTCGGCTTTTCACAACGACCAACGTGACAGTTGCCTTGTCATCTTAAATATATTTTTTCCTACATCAATGTTTTAACATAGATGTTTATTATTTATATTCCGAAAATGGTTATAAATCCAAAAATAGATATGTAAATAATTCTTACGATTGTATGGTTGCTTACAATGGTAGTAAAATAAAATCAAACAGTATTTTTTATATCTAAAAGGACAATAAGAAGCCCACTTTTTATCAAACACTTATTGTGTGTATTGTTATCTATTATTAATCAAGGCGATATTTATTTTAAATGGAAAAATAAGGTGTTTTACTAAAAGCGAGCTCTACTTGAATGTTATGTATATTTAAGCTTGTTATAATAAATTCAAAGTTATTTTTTTATTAGATATTACTATGCAAGCCAAGAGGAAATTGTAGCAGTAATAATGTAAAAGGTAAACAGCAGAGTGGAAGCCCGAGTTCGATGGTAAATTGATTCATAAAATAGCTATCGCCTGTGCTTAGGTCTACGAGTGCTACGCTTTTGTAGCACAAAAGTTTGAAAGCTTCTGCTGCTGCTACGAAGATTTTTTAACAAATCGTTGGACTTTTAACCTAACAATGCATTACAGTGAACTATTGACACTTAACTTTATAACTTTTAATTTCGAATAGATAAAAAATACGTTTAAAAGACATGTGACATTAATCTACGGCGAGTTATAAAATTCTACGGTGAAAGGACCAGCGGATATCACGAATATCAAATTTGAAATATCCGATTTAACGTCACGTTTACGTTACGCTCCGCGGACGTTGGTAATCCGATACTAAATGGTTTTTACAAAACCCCTGTGATCGAATTTTATGTTACAAAGGACATTTCATAAAAAATGTAGAAGGTTTTGTTTAGGACTTCCTTTTTAACTTTAACGTGTTAACTTTTGTTAGTTTTACATTAATTACATCATCATCTTCATTCTCAATGTCAGCCTGAGGTCGTCCACTGTTGAAGACCTCCCCATTAATTGCCACAATTTATTATATGGCGTAGTTAAAATAAATCTAGCTTTGTCGTCATAATCATCATAATTACCATCATCAGCATCAGGATATGTCAGTATACTGCTAGACATTCATATACAGCTTTCCCCAACGTACAGTCCAACGGATTACGGATTAAGAGATTAGAATTGTAATACTTTTTTTGTTACAACAGAAGCGGTCGCCGAAGGTGCCGGGGCGGATGGTGCCGCCGCTGAGGAAGCGGGCGCCGACCGGGGCTACTGGAGCCGATGGCTGCAGATGCTCCCCCCGCCGCTACGCACTTTGTGCGCCTCACACCGATTTGACAACCTACATGTAAGTAATTATTTTCTTGTTCTTTTTCCTAGGCAATGAACCATAGAATTTTTTTGTGTCCTGAATGTTACTTCTATATTAGATGTCAACAATGACTTTGGTTGTAGGCTGGCTCTATTAGTGCGTCTTGATCACGTCGAGGTTTTATGTATGCTGAGATTGTGTTTTGGTTTCACATTTTGTGTTTAAGTTAATTCTTTTACAGAATACTTACAAATTACATCGTAAGTAATTTTGCTTGGACGTATATTTATATTAACTAGTTTTATTTCATTTAAACTTCATTGAATTTTTAATGCAATTTATTAAACATTCGGATTTGCCTATAATTTAATATTAGGTGTTTTCACACGAACTTGTTACGTTTTGCGTCCAATTTTGTTTGCAATTCAATTCGTCGGCGTCAAACGTTTCGCCTTTTTATTAAGCCATCGTAATTTTATACCTATTCAGTTATGTTATCCTTTCAATTTGTCGTTATTACTTTTCCTATGTAATAAAAATTCAATATTATTAAATTGAAATATTGCTTACCTACTGCTGGCTTCAATGTTGAATAAAAATGTAGATGGTTTTATTTGTATATTGTTTTAAAAGTTATAGCGTTTAATAAAAAACAATAATATTATTTCCACTCAGGTAATCCATTTTCCTCTATCAGTACGATATCTACATTTATCATACTCCTCTAACTGTATTTCTTCACTAATAATGAGTTATTATAGATTTTTAAAGTTCAGATTTTCAACTAATACTATTCTACTGCTGCAAATTGTATAGAAATACATGCTATATAATTAGTTGTAACACAATAAAGCGTTGCAGTAATAATTTAAATTAGAAATCAAATATCCCACGGGTAATCTATGTTTGAAATTGATATGGAATACGGGTCAATTTAAACAACCACAAGGCGAGTTTCCTTAACTAGTGCTATCGATTTTAGATGGTTGTATGTATCAATGTATCGTGTTAGTTAATTAACACAATTATCTATATAACACTAAACATCAAATTACTTGTACATCTGAGATACAAATGTTGTAATTCATTTATATGAATCTTAATCACTAGTAATGGATGAAATAGAGGATCGATACAATAGAGGACAGATTTGTATGTCATAAAAGTTGGTAAGTAAACATTGGAAATAATTTATATTACAAATTAGTTGCATGTCTTTTAACAAGCAGTATTATAAAACGAAACCATGTTCATAATGATGTTATATTACCGCCAACTAACTTGTAGAGTATCGTAATATCCGATAAGCCTACAAACACCTTGTTGACAATCAGAACATAATCTCTACTTATTATGTTGTCAGCCAGTTACATGTTAGATATTAACGTTGTTTAGGATAAATTATTTTTGAAATAACTGTCCAACAATTTTGTTACACATTACTTAACGTTACCTTCAGTTGTAACTGAACAGTTTAAAATTTCAGGTAAAACTGCCCGAACTTGGTTTACGTTAATGCTCGTATTGGGATACAAAGAAATCTCTCATTTTATATAAATCAAATTTAAAAATGTAGTCAATAAATGAATGTGTATACATTTTTGTTTTAAAATAAAAAAGCTTAATGCCTTCCGCTCGTTTTGAAACCAATACTTTTTTTAAAAAATTAATGTACCAGTTTCATTTCCTTCCATTTCACTGCAACAAAAAATAGAGGAGCTTTTTGTGAAGCTACTTAATGGCGCTTACTTTTAAGCTGACGCCTTTGAAGTCTTTATATTGAATTTCAGAAAGTGATCAGTCGTTCTCTTTACAATTTATAACAAATGTACTCGTAGTTAGCGATTTTGATATCCAAGATAGGAACCGAAAAATAAGTGTTGAATCCCAGTTAGGTATTGAATGACTGTTTCTTGTTATTAATGCCAAAAAAAAGTAAAAGTTATTTAATTTCATCAATTTCTTATTTCAGTAAACACAAGGGAATTGTAGTAAACAGATCATTATCTTACAGCGTCAATATGTATTATCTTTCTACTCAGACATTACTGCGTAGAATAATGTTTCGACATTTGTAAATATTAAATTGGATATGCCAGACTCCCTCTGGACATGTCTATAGTCTTGTAATTTGACAATATATTCATGTTTTGAAATGAAAAGGACTTTTAAGATGAACATATTTCTAATGTAGTTTCAAACTTTGAACTTGTTTGACAACCTCTCGGACGATATTAAATGTCGTTGTAGAGGCAACTTCTAAGTCTATGTATACATAAAGAGCTAAGACTAGATAGACTAATGGCCAGTTCCAAAGCTACTTATAGCCATTCGGTGGTGTTCTTGGTTCGATAACTTCGTGAAATGCTTTTCCGACTAAGTAACTTGAGTTTTACTCCGTCGAGATTAAGTTCAACACTAATAAATCACTAGGTAATGATAAAATAAATGAAATCTTTAGCAAGCCAGCGCTAGTAGATTTATGTTTAACATGTAAAATAATCATCGTCAATGAACATATTCGATACAACAGTGTGAGTACAATAAGTTCCGATCCGATTTATTAATTTATTTCAAACCGGTTTCGTTTAACTTTTTCATTATGCATGAAATTCAGTTCGCTGGCTTTAAACTTTTTGTTTGTGAATGTTAAACTTTTACGACTTTTCTCTTTTTCATTTTTACGCCTCACTTTCCAATAAACAAACCATTTACGACGAATAAAACAGACAGCATTTTTATTTCATTTTAATTAAGTAATCTTCTTATATTCAGTGAAACGAGAAACGATGATAATAATTCACATTTGTTACTATTACGTAATTTATAATAAAAGATATTCTATATTTTTACGCTTTTAAGTACAATTGGTGTGACAGTGGGAAATATGAAGACCAAGAAATAACCCCTGAGGAAAAATGAGCCACATACAACATTCGCTGTTTTTGAGTAAGAAAAATATTATAATACAAGAATGAGAGTCACGGGACAGAAAAAGGCGGCGGCTTGACTAAAACATGTTGAATATCGACCTAGTTTGCAACTTTCGTCTTGGTTAAATTTTGCACACACACACGTGTTAACTATATCAACATAGGTAGATGCAACAATTGAGAATTCTTTGAGGCAATCACTCGGCGCGTTCAATTTGAGCGAAAGCGGCGTCATGTGCACGAACACGTCACTCATCGGACGAACGTATTCCTAGAATTCTACCCTAGATTGATACTATCGTCGGTCGGTCTATATACACAGACAATCTATATTTAAATATTTATAAACAAGTAAGGATATTTGGCTGCTAAATTTCAATTGCATTTTTAATTTGGACAGATAAATGATGTTTTTATATTGTAAAATAATCAGTGTTTAATGGTTTTTATAAATCCGAAGAAAAATTTAAGTTTTCATTGATAGTTTTTTTTAAATAAATTTTTGAAGTTGTAATTTCGACTTATTTTGAAAAAATCGAAAAATCAAGATTACTCGAAAACGGTTAACTTTTGGATAATGCATATGCATTAACCCCTTATATAGGGGTAAAAATGATCAAAAATGATCCCCTCTATTACTTCCTAACGGGAATACGTCTGATTACCAATAACCCTGTATAGGATTTAACTTTATGTTCTACATAACAGACTTTTACCCCAGTAAAGTAATAAAAAAGCAAAAAAAACTGGCTTAAACAAAGTTTTTGAACCTAAACTATTGCAAATATATGTATGTACATATGTAATTATGTCAAAATGTATTCATTAAAACATACAATTGGATACAATTGTTGAAATAGACCTCTAATAATTTGAATCCCTTGCGTTAATAATTAAAACAAAATACATTAATGGCCTTCGTACCCTTTGTTCTTCATTTATCTTTCACCGAACCGCAAAGACAAAAGAATTGCTGATAAAGACAGGTCGTTTAATTGTATTCAATATTTTACTGAGCATTTGCATGTAATTCGTTGATAAAGTTTAAATCCACGCTTCAAGTATTACGAGATGTAAAATTCCGATACGCGTCGTTTCACTTTTCCGTTTTAATTATTCAACTGATTGACATTAATCATATTTGTATCTTTGTCGCAGTCAATTTTCATTTATTCACTTTTCGATCGACACAGCCCTATAAATATTCAACGGGCTTTTGGCGGGCTATGAGCCAACGACAGGAAACCTATAAAAGAATCATGTCAACTAAAAATCCATTTTACTGCACTGGAAATTAATGAACAAAAGAGAGAATGAGAGTTATGGTATAGGAATTAATTCTTCCTTACTTACCTTAAGTTTTTCAAGTTAAGTTATAATAACTTATAACTTATTCATAAAACTTTAGCAAGGCGTCTAATAGCTTTAGACAAGAAGTAGTTTAACTGCTTGACGTTCGACACAATTTCATCATTAGCAACACTATACAAGCCAAATATTTGGCTCAGAACCTACCCTAAGTAAGGGGTAACTAAGCTATAATCACACATGCTGTCCAAGTACTGGTGGTTGGTTGACTTCAAACATGTTTTTCACTTTCGCCGATATATTCAATTCGTATCAAATATCTAATAATCAAGATTTTACATCTCCGAATCAATGTACATTCGATATTCCAAAACACACTGGTACTTGGCGGGAATCGAACCTGGATGTATAGATTATAGTCCAGTCCGATTAAGCGATTAACAACTGCGCCACTGACGCTCGCAGTCACTATTTAATATAGCCTAATTATTATGTAAGCGATTTAAACTTTAAAAATTGCTACTTGTGTTCGCATCAATATAATAAAATGTGAAATGAAATCGTTATCGAGTGTGTCGCTTTGTCAGTTTCTCTTTCCTGCGGGTAACGTTAACAAAACATCCGCGCGGTCGTACATCGTCAAGTTGATTTATTGGAGTGACAAGAGACGCGCCCTCCACAGTGCCTGCTCTTCCTTTCAATGATATATTAAGAAATCAATATACCAACAAAGTCGTCTTCTTTTTATTACAGTGACACTCATTGTTTAGACGTCAACTTATGTCAAACAGGTTC